TGTGGTTGTTACCAAATCTGACTTCTCGTTTCAAATCCTTTTGCAAAACGTTTCTGCGCAGAGGTGGTCACTCTCTGATGTAAAATGAGATGCTATGAGCAATCCGGAAAAAAAAAGCGCTGTAAAGCGTCACATTTTATAACCTCCTGTGCGCTGTCCGGGTACTTTTTGACATGAGACTTTGTAAAGTTGTCAACACTTTCTATTAATTGGAATTTAATAATAATTGGAATAATGTGGGGTTTTTTTTAGTGTGGAAAAAAGTCACATTTGCACTGTTTGGCGTCAAAAAGACCCCAGGCAACAAAATGTAATTTTGTAACGAATTAATAATTTCTTTTTAATAAGTAATTTTAGTGGTTTTTGAAATACAAAAACAGCTTTTTATGTAAAATTAACTTTATAAAGGACCCACATTTCCCCCTTTCATGGGGATAACATGGATAATTTGACATGACAAATTTTTGTAAAATGCCAGTAAAACAATCTCACTTTAACTCACAGAGCTCCACTATTTGCTATTTGACTAACTGAGAGACATCTTTACACAAGTTTATCTATTTGGATTTATATCTAATGAAATCATGGTAATACTTGCCTTGCCTTGCCTTGCCTTGCCTATTAACTAACATGAACTTTCCATACATTTCCTACAGTATTTATCAATCTTTGATAGCATTAGTTAATCAAAATAAAGCTGTTCATTGTTTGCTCATATTAGTTCACGGTGAAATAACTAATGTTAACAAGATTTTGTTAAAGCATTAGTACATGTTGAAATTAACGTTAAAGGAGAACTCCGGCGAACAATAAACCTTTGGTCTAATAAAACATCAGTACCTAGTCAATCATTCTCTAAAATTTGTTTTCATGATAATCGAATGTAAAGAGTTTTATCTCTAAAAACTGTTTAGCATATAATGCTAGCAATGGAGGCATTGACTAAGTAAAAAGAAATTGCTAGTTTATACCACTAACAAGGCTCAAAATAGCCCCACACTAACACAGTAATATAATGAGGGTCCATACATGCAAAACGAAGCATTGAGAACTTTGTAAGTGTACAGACCGTTTAATAAGAAGACACTTTATGAAGACAGTTCACTTCGCGTATACAGACAGAAGCCATCTTAGAAAATAGTCTCGATAAGTCGATCCCCGAACGCCGTTCATACACATAGACATGTACACTAGACCTCACCTTGGCTACGGCAGTTCATTGAAACGAATGCGTCAATAGAGCCGCCATCTTGAAACAGGGGAGCCCCTCCACTTTAATGCATCAGCGTCAAAGTAGTAGACACAGGTCAAACGGAAATAAAATCACCATAAATCATCATGAATGAGATTTTTCTTGTTTTTTTGGTTTGTTCCAAATGTCAGACATGTATTTTCATTGATTCCAGAAAGATTTTTTTTTTTTTAAACATTCTTCCTAGTTCAGATTTCATCCGTGAACATCATACGCTGCACAAAAGTCCGCCACCATCAATGAATTCAAAGTAAAAGCAGAGATAGCAGCGTTACCTAGCTATTTCCTATGACAAGACCCCTGTTCCAAGATGGCGGCGGTTTTGACGCATGCTTAGAACCCCAAGGTTAGGTAGTGTATATATCTATGGTTCATACAGTTCAGTAGTTCGCTGAACTTCATACAGTTCAGATCACTCAGCACGACGTTCGTGGTTTGACTTTAAAAGTCTTTACATTCGATTATCATGAAAACAAATCTCAGACAACGATTGACTAAGTATCGATGTTTTATGAGACCAAAGGTTCAAAAATGTTAATAAATGCTGTATAGGCTAAGTGCAGTTCATTAGGTTCATGCTAGTTAACTAAAGAACCTTACTGTAAAGTGTTACCGAAATCACATTTATAAGAATAGCATTTTTTTGTATTTAAAACAATGTTTTTCAATAGTTAGGCTACATTATGCTTAGAATCAAATTAATGTTGTCCATTTTTGTCAGAACCAGAAAATTGACAAAATTCATCCTTAAAATCAGTGGCATGCTTAAATTTGAAGAATTATATATAAAAAAAAAACTTGTTTGAAATAAATGAAACTCTAAAGACTTCAACTTTTTCATTTTTTATTCTAATCGTAACATTATTGATAAACTGTAGGGGGATTGTACTAACTTGTACAATCTATAATTGCTGAAGAAATTGGTAAAGACTCCTTTCTAAGCAGTCAAACTTTGCTTTTATTTTAACTTAAAACCAAATAACCAGATAAAAGGTTAAGAATTAAACCGTACACAGCCCTCAGTGTAAAGCACCTGCTTGTGGTTTCATAAGTGGAAGGTGCAGGGCGCCATTTAGCTTTACGGGCAGGAACGTGAGTGCTTGTGCGTGGATGGAAATTTTCAATCGAAAGCTGTCGCCTCCCCAAAACCTCAGAGTGTTCTGCGTTTCTGTAGACACAGGGAAGGGAACATATCGGAAAAAAACATACATGTAGGAGGGGACAATACCATCTCTGACGTTGCTAAGTGCGCATGAAAATGCATGATCTATTCTAAATGTTAGTCCTAGTTTTTATGAAATCAACCAAATATTAACTTTGCGGAGACATTTGAGACCCAATGATTATTTTATTATTATTATTATTACATGTGAACAATATATAGGAACAATACGGTTTTTCTGATATTTATATTGGAGAATATCATAAACAGATTCAGTCCTTTATTTAAAATTGCAGACACATTCCACTGACTGAAAACAACAAGAAATAGAGAAACACTACATAAAATACGATACAATAAAAATATTACTGCCATTTGTTTATGCAGCCCATTTATTTCCATTTCACTGAAACAAAATTGAATAAATAAAGGTAAGATTCTCAGAAGTTGTCCTTTGCCCACTTAAATAGGCTATGGTAAATTAATAAACTAATTCATCGCATTTTTCTCAGGAATGCATGAGTCAGTAGGCTACAGGACATGTTTGTGGTAAACAACTGCGGCGACATGGAAATGACTCTATAAGGTTACAGCATCCAACGATCTACAACAACTGCAATTCAAGTTCAGGCGATGTGAAATTTGCTATTCAAATTCACCAATCAGCAGATTTCAAAGTAGATCTCAAAGGTATGAATTGAAATCAATTCGCGGCTTAAATTAAATTAGCCATCTGAATTCAAATGGATGAGCATTTACACTCAAGTGTAATAAGAACAAAAGTGATTTTTAAAGGAGTAGTTCACTTAAAAAAAAAAAAAAAAAAAAAAAACTTTTCCTGATAATTTACTCACCCCCGTCATCCAAGATGTCCACGACTTTCTTTCTTCAGTTGAAAAGAAATTAAGGTTTTTGATGAAAATATTCCAGGATTCTCTCCATATAATGGACTTCATTGGGAACCAAACGGTTTAAGGTCCAAAAGAGAGTTTCAGTGCAGCTTCAAAGGGCTTTAAACGACACCAGACGATGAATAAGGTTCTTATCTAGGACCCTTCGAGTCATGACTCTAAAAAAGATTCGTTCATTTTGATGAACGAGTTTGAACAGGAGAGTCACGAACGCGCATCGCAGAATAGAGCAAGGCGAGCATTTGTGCTTATAAAACCTAAACTTTTTTATTTATTTTACAAATGACCAATCGTTTCGCTTGATAATTCATTGTCTGGTGTCGTTTAAAGCCCTTTGAAGCTGCACTGATACTCTCATTTGGACCTTGAACTGTTTGGTTCCCATTGAAGTCCATTATATGGAGAAAAATGCTGGAATGTTTTCATCAAAAACCTTAATTTCTTTTTGACTGAAGAAAGAAATACATGGACATCTTGGATGACATAGGGGTGAGTAAATTATCAGTAAAAGTTTTTTCTTTTAAAGTGAACTACCACTTTCACACATTGGTGAATCTCACTTTTGTTTTGGACCCCAAATACATTCGTATTTAACACTGTCCCATTTCAAACCAGTTGCTCAAAACAGGCGTAAACGGTCCTAAACAACCTCTAACATAAGAAGTTTTCTGATTGACTGTTCAGTCTCACAACTATCTACTGAAGCGATTAAAAATATAAACAATAATAATATAAAAAAAGTTTTTTTTTTTTTTAATTACAACTATGCACAGATTATTTTTATGTTTTAAGTGGTGTTATTATGTACACTTGAGTAATACTGACAACATGTACTTACTATATAATTAGGGTCTGGGTTTGGTTTCAGGTTAATTCTTTGAATTAGTAATAATGCATAATTGACTGTTTTTACTATATGTAATATGTGTAAAAGCACAGTATAGTATATGGTACACAATTATTTCCTTTTCGATTGTCAGAGGTTGTGAATAGTACCAAAGTACTGAACCGTACCACTTTTTTGGGACCCATCTGTTGGGGCACCTTGGACCATAGTCCAGTACTGTATACGTTAAAGTCTCGTTTCCATCGAGCAGTACAGAACATTACGACTTGTGAAGGTGGAAACGCAAGCCGGATCAAGATCCCGTCCCGAAGCTTACGGTAAGTACTACTTGGTGGAAACAAGCCTTAAAATAAAGGGTTGCACTTTATTTTAAGTTCACATACTCTCTCAAATAAGTACTATTTGCTATAGTAATATTTATGAACTACATGTACTTACCATAGAGTTATGGTTAGGGTTATTTACTGTTATGACTATAGTAAGTAGGCTAGTAACATGTACAGTAACTATGTCACCTTAAAATAAAGTGTTACCAAATAAAGTAGCATATTACCATAAAGGGATACTCCACTTTTTTGGAAATAGGCTCATTTTACAACTCCCCCAAAGTTAAACATTTGAGTTTTACCGTTTTCGAATGCATTCAGCTGATTTTTTGATAATTTGAAGAATATCAGTAACCAGACAGTTTCTGGTCTCATTGACTTCCATATAGGAAAACAAATATACTATGGAAGTCAATGAGACCAGAAACTGTCTGGTTACTGATATTCTTCTAAATAGCAGAAAATCGGCTGAATACATTTGAAAACGGTAAAACTCACCAGTTTAACTCTGGAGGAGTTGTAAAATGAGCCTATTTCCCAAAAAAGTAGAGTATCCCTTTAAGTAGAAGTTCAACATAGTCGATAACAGTTGACAACAATTGACAATAAACTAGTTATATAACAACTACTATTACTTGCATATAAAATATTTCACAAAAAGAAACATGGAAACCACTGAAATTTGCGTTAGACAAGTAAAGACAGGCACTTCTCCCCAGATTCTTCAACAGGCTTTCTGCATACGCTTTCTAAAGAGAATAAATGTAATGAAAGGATGAATAGAGTATAGCCACACACACATACACAAACATGGCCATAACGTCATCTAAGGGTACTTCACCTTTTCGAGAATCCACTTTCTTGTGGTTATGAATGCAGTAAGTCACTTTACACTTGTAGTACAGGAGTCCAGACAGAAGAAGAATGCCAGCGCATAGGATGACCAGCCCTGGAATAAAATATGAATTCATGCTTAGCAAGAAAAATTCAAATTGTAATTGATTAATAAACCTGGAAGCAATGAAGAAAGAGTACATAAGCTGTAGAAGCGGTCTTTGGTTGGAGAGGTAGCCGTAGTTCTTAAAGGGGCTGCAGACGAGATGGTTGATGTCTTCAGTGAGGTTGTCTTCAGTGAGGTTGTATACACTTTGGGAGCTTCTGTCACCTCTTCTGATGCATTTTTGCATACGGTATCAGAAGTGCTGGTGCCTTGGATCTTAATCCCACTTTTGCATCTACAGATGAAACATTTTTTGCAATTCAAAGAACAAAAACATTCTGATGAAATTCTGTCATCATTTACTCCTGCTGATGTCATAACAAACCTGTAACTTCCTTTCTTCTTTAGAACACAACGATGTCATTTTGATGAATAATATTTTTCTTGTCCATAAAATGAAAGTTTAATTTTGTGGAAAGAAATGATATTTTATGTTCCATACAAAGAAAGAGTCATACAGGTTTGGAATGACGTGAGTGTGTGAGTAAAGTGAGCTTTCCCTTTTGAAGTTTTACTGCTGAATCATCAAAATTGCACAAGAGGGCGCTGATCGTATATTTAAATTAAGCTGCTGAGATGATTAATGTGGTTCAGCGTCATCAATTAAATTCATTTGAGTCTTTTTACTGGGGAATTGTTAAGTGTTAGCTTCCCCTCATCCCATAGAGTAGGGTCTCCGGAACATTGTTCTGTTGCCTGGGATTTTTGTACGAGGATATCAAACCGTATAACTTTTGACATTCATTTCCAGTAGGCTATTTTATCATAAAAACTTACTCTCTCCATTTTTGACAAGTTGAGTCATCTTTGTCTGAGAAGTAGCCTTTGCGACATTCAGTGCAAGTCTCTCCTAGAAGAGAAACAAAGTCTAAGTTTCATAAGATTCACCTTAGTTATATAGTTGATGTGATTCAATAAGGTAGGATTTTATGTTTACCTCTTTTATCCAGTTCAGAACCTTTTTTACATATGCAATCTTCTTGTTTCGGATTTTTGGGTGTAAAACCTTCCTTACATTGGCAGCGAACATCTTTTGTAGCTGTACATTTTTCAACTTCCTTACTACCTGAGGGGAAAAAACAATACATGTTGAAAATCAAAATATTGGACTGGAATGGCTTTTTCCCATTGCTTTACTTTAGTTTCCATACATTCAATACAGGTATCTTATAGCATTACATTCTCAGTTATTGAATATGTGCCTGGCACTTACCGTTTCCACATTCACCGCATGGTTTACAGTGAACATTTGATCCACTTTTGGGGTTGTAATATTTATCTTGACAGGCCACACAAACCCGTGTTATGTAATCTAGCTTCTCACCTACAATTAACAGACATCATTTATGAGGTGATTCGTGTGGCAAATATCCATTTAGACACAACAGTGGATCCCAAATCCCAGTTCTTAACCATAATCATACATACCTGCAGAGCAATCTTTAGCGCTTGCATTTTGGTGAAGTAAAAGCAAACACAGGAGAGTTGAGAGGATTTTCCTGTAGAAGAACATAGCAGCAGTAGTGACACTGTAGTATATTGCTGGAAGAACTGCGTGTAACCCTCAAACAAGAGGAAATAGAATGAAACCAACAAGATGACATTTAACATATAACAGGCAACTCCCCCACTATCTAACGGTGGAAACTTGTAGGATTATTATATTACAGTATGTGCTTCCTGTTTCTTAATAATTTCAAAATATTTATATTAATATTTAAAAACAGACATTATTCAACTGTTGAATTAAAATAAATAGAATAAACCCTGACACATAAAAATACTTTAAATTAAAAAATTTAGGAATTGCCATATACATTTATTACAGATTTACCATTATTTTAATTATCAACATACATGCTTAAAAACACACACTTCACTCTGAAATCTCTGGAACTGGATTGTTTATTTTTTCTTCTTTATTTTTCTCTGAAATGGAATAGGAAATTAAATCTACTGTAATAACTTTCAGAATTCAGGTTGCTAATCTCAATATTATATTCATATTCAATGTTCTAACATATAAATGTTTTCGTGATAGAATAGATAGAGAGAAACCAAAGGAACATTACAATTAGTCAAATCGAATTATTATCTCTCTGGACAGCCATTTAATATTTCTAACATGCCAAATTCGGAGTAATAACCTTTGGCATTAAGTCAGTTTTCAAGTTTTCAAAAAGTACTTTTTTGTCATTTCTTTTTTTTCTTTCTAAATGTTAGCATCTCTAGTTTTAAATGACATGACACTCTCAAGTACAATATGTGAGGGTGCTCTCCATTCTAATGACTCAGAGATGTTTTACGTAGGAAAAAAACAGGTGAGGTCTGACACATTTAGCACAGAGTAGGTTCCTTTTACTGGTTCGCTGTACAGGAAAAAAAAGGTTATGTAACATGTGTGTGGAGAATAAGTGTGTTCTGTTCTACTTTTAATCATCAGTTTAGAAAAAATATATAAATTGGGTCATTTAGTACAAAATAATTATAATATTAACAAACAATGGAGTTGACAAGGCGACACCAACAATGAAAACACTGGGAAATTAGTCGGTGTAAAGAGAAAAAAACTGCAACGAACTGCACCTTTATTTTTGCAGAAAGTGCAGAGCTTCCATTTACCATGACATGGTGTAGATTTTATCTTCGGCTTGTTTCCGGTCGTCAAACAGAGAAGTCTGTGATCCTCTATAAAAAAAGAGGATTTAAAAACTCCTTATAAATATGGAAAGAGTTATGCCAGACACCATAAAGAGAAAAAAAACATAACTGAAAAGATACTTTGACTAAACTGGGTGTTTTCCCTATTTTACTGATCACTGAAAACAAAATGACTGTGCTAATAGGCTCTTTATTACACAACTTTCTCAGCTCCAAAAAAAAAAATGAAATAAAAGAGATGGTGGGAAATGACACAGTGTTTGGAGTATTTACTCTGTGTTGGGGTCAAATACTTGACTGAAACATCTCCTGACCTACCTGTAACGTGTTCTGTTTAAGTTTAATTTTCTCTGTTAATTTGTTCCGTTCCCGTTTGCCTGTTCTTATTAGTTCCCTTGATTACTCATTCAGTTTGTCCCGATAGTTAATGATTTTGTTCACCCGTTGATTAATCAGAATCATCATTACTCCCCATGTGAGTTTTCTTCAGTTCCTTTTCCTTGTTGGAGTTACATGTTTGTGGATTATATTAAAGTGACTTTTCCTTCTCCCTCGTAGTGAGATTACTTGCAACAACCCAGTTGTCGCAACACAGGAGACGGACAGGTGTTAAAGTGCAAATTTCTTTTTTGCTTTAGGGAATTGAGGTTTGTTTTGCACTTCTCGGCTACCGTACCTCAAACCACCAGATTCATGAGTATACGGTAAGAGCAGAGTGTTTTTTAAAGCAGAAACAGCGGGAACCATGCAGACGATGGTGAGAGGATGTTGACTTCCTGAATGATGGTGGTTGAAGTGGATTATCTGTAAATGTTGTGATGATGAGCATGTAGGTTATCGCCTGGCTGGCTGGCAGCTGCCAGTGGTTGTCTGTCTATCTGCCTTTGGCAAGTTTCAGAAACCATTGATTTTTGACAGTTTTTGTGTTTTGTGTTCCTCCCTTTATAGCTCATTTATTATGTATCTGTTGAAATTATTGTTATTAGTAGTAGGATGATCCCAATTTAATAGTCAAATGGCCGTGATCAGACTGGCAGTACAGGCGCTGCTGGACGCTCATCCAGTCAGCCGCGGGTGATCAGCGAATATAATGCGTTGCCTGACACTCTCGCTGAAAGGAAATAAAAAAAAATTCTTATTATGAATATAATGTCATGCCTTTATTCTTGTGTATGATTGGTGTTTTGGGTACTGTTGTCCCGATTAAACCAGTCAAATGGCCGTCATATGACTGGCAGCTTACAGACGCTCATCCAGTCAGCCGAGGCTGAGACTGCGAGTCTAACGCGTTGCCTGACACTCTCTCTAAAAGGAAATAAATTGTTTTCTTATTATGAATATAATGTCATGCCATAATGTCAGGTATTTTTGGGGCCGTTTATCCCGATTAAACCAGTCAAATGTGCCTGATCACGGACATTTGACTGGTTTAATCGGGATAAACGGCCCCAAAATACCAATCGTACACAAGAATAAAGGCATGACATTATATTCATAATAAGAAAACAATTTATTTCCTTTTAGCGAGAGTGTCAGGCAACGCGTTATATTCGCTGATCACCCGCGGCTGGCTGGATGAGCGTCCAGCAGCGTCTGTACTGCCAGTCTGATCACGGCCATTTGACTATTAAATTGCGATCCTACTACTAATAACAATAATTTCAACAGATACATAATAAATGAGCTATAAAGGGAGGAACACAAAACACAAAAACTGTCAAAAAAACAATGGTTTCTGAAACTTGCCAAAGGCAGACTGACAGACAACCACTGGCAACTGCAAGCCAGCCACTGGCAGCTGCCAGTCAGCCACTGACAGGTCACGTGACCTGCCAGTGGCAGCTCCTGCCAGCCAGTTGAAGATTGAACCCCTACTGCGAAAACGCGTACCATACACGCAAAAACTGTTTTCGCCGTATAAATGCCACGAGAAATGACATTCGTGCTATAGATACGAACTCTGCATCTCTGCTCACTGAAATGGTTTCATTTTTCAACCAAAATGTTTACCAGCACTTTTAAATTTTTCTTCATGAGGGGACAAAAAATTCATTAGAGTCCGTGCACTGATATTGAATTACTGTAGTTTGTAACTGTAACTTTTTTTTTTCGGCATTGGTCAACCAAACATCCATATCTCAAACTTTGGCATGTTTGAACTCACATGTTAATGCTCTCTAATGCCGATACACCTCCAGCCAAATGTTCACATGGAGTTCTCAACTCCAAAACATGTAAACAATGCTAAAGATTATTACCATGGTGAAGTTTCATTTCATCATGGGTGCATGTCATATCAGGACTTTCCCCACTTCAGATTCTTGAATGAAGAGATCTTATCTTATTTCAGTCAAATGTCATCAAATGCTTTCAGTCAAATGTCATACTCTTATAAAAAATAAAAAATAAAAAACACGGTCCAAACAATGGACCCTATGGGTTCTTGACTCAATTTTACAGAAGCCTTTTTGGAAAAAAAAAATTCTAAGGAGAAATGTCTTAAATGATTCCATATACTGTACTTTCAATACTTTTCAATAGGCAATTTAAATTATTTCAAGTGATAAAGTATTGCAAGCTGTTTAATTCATAATGTAATTAAAAATATTTAATTAAGACTAAATTCATAAAATATTTCAATAAACCTTTTCTTCTAAATTTGAAAAAAATAATCAACTCCATTCAGATAAGTATAAGTAAATCATTGCATGCATAGGTGTTTCTTGAAACTATGGGCTTACAATTTCTCTTGAAACATACTAAATACTCTCACATGCTGTAATTTTAATTAATTTGTCCTCTATCAATATCTGAGTCTAGGCCTATAAATGCATCACAGAATGCCAACTAATGTATTGACATCTCAAATGACACCTCTACAACTCAAATAATGTATTGGGTTCCATATATTTAATACGTGTTTTATTCTATGGTGGGAATGACAATTGTGGGGCAATCATGTTTTTAAAAATTGTTGAAATAACTTTCACGCAATGTAAATTTAAATAGTTTGTCATCATGGTTTTAAACATATAATAACAACATTAATGTTATAATGGATATTCATAGTCTATAAAGTCTGGGTCTTGGATATGGATAAAACAATATCAAACTGTAGGCTATAAAACATATTTGCAGCAGAATAAATTATGAATAATAACTTTTAATGTCATAAAAATGGGGAAAAAAGATATGTTTGATTCTACAAAAATGTGTCACTTGGACATAAAAGTAACTGAAGTTGAACAAACAATTAATTAAAATAATTGGACAATCAAATACTCACTCCAGGCCGAAAGATGGCGGTGATGATACAGCCAATATTTTCCAACCTCCATATGATGACGACATCTCTATCCGAAGAAGAAGACTGTCGCTCCGCTTTGTTTACTTTTACAGATGGATGTTCAAATCACATTTTTCTCCTGAAAGCAATGATATCTGATTTAACAACCGACATTAGAATGTAAGGTAGAAAAAACACAGCATGGAAGAATCGTGGGATTTTGAATTCTTGTCCCGTATGGTTGATAGTCTGGTTTCCTTTCTGTCCGAATTTGTGGACGATTGGCTGGCCAACGACATGAGAGTTACCGTGTTTAAAATCCTGTTCAGCTGGCTTGTCATCAGTCTCGTTTCTATCCACTTTGCATGGAAAGTGTACGGGAACACCGTCAACGATATGTACTACCGACAGGGTGAGTATTTTCTGAGGTGTTCCGCGTAATCCATAATTATAAGTCCTAATGTATATCCTAGTTTCTAGCATGTTATCATTATGTATTTGGAAACAGTTCTTCTAACACTAATTGATCGAGTATGTAGCTTTTCATTTGTCTGAACAACCAACCATAAACTGATGCATCACTTGATGGAAATAACTTCACAACATATTTCCATCAAGGTTCATCACTTGTTCTTGAATCTTGACATTATCATCCTGGAATATGGCCATGATGTGTCTTCCTACATGGTTTAGAAATGAAAAGCTACACACTCCATCAGGTAGGGTTAGAACTAGAAGAACTGTTGCCAGACATATAACATGCTAGATACATATCAATGCAATAATGATCCAATCATAGACTCTTAAGCATTTGCCTATTTAAATCAGATTTTTGGGGGCCTTTCAGTGTATATTGTGCATTTTAAAAAAGTAGTACTTTTTCTACGTTACTCGGACTAAATATGTATGTGATAATTTCTCAGGGACTGGAGGACAGAATGGTGGGACCCCTGACACAGCGCCTCACCTGAGCGGATGGTAGTTGACCCCCCTTTCTGTTGTTCTCTTCATGAAAGATTTGTTGACCTTAAGTTAAAGGATTTAATTGATCTTTGGCTGCATTATGATGATGATTTCCTAATTCTAATTTGGAATTTGATCAACAATGTTGTGTGTGGAAAATTAGAATGTTGAAATTTTAAAATATTGAAAAATATAACATTTTAACTCAAATGGACTGAACAATTCACTGACAAAACAAATCGAAACGTTCTAAGAGCTTAATTCACTGAAGAGTCTCATTAAAAGTAGCTTGATATTACAAACATCAGTATTGTGTTTTAGTATGTAGGCTAATTTGTGCATGGCCCTTTTATGAAAACACCTGTTAAATCCAATGTTTTCCATTTATTCCTAGGGAAAGTCCAGCTGGTGATGCTAAGAAGACCCACCGTGAGTGATGTACCTGCAACTGGACTAAGAGCGCACACACACACACACACGATGGAGAAAAGCAATTGCATTCCTTCAAGAACATTAACTACATCAGAATTTGTGCTATTAAATCATTTTAACTTGTGAAGATGTCTGTGATGGATGAATATGTGCTCGAAAATACATAACTGAATGGTGCTGTGCACTGAAAAAGGAGGATACTGTGATATATAGCAGCTCTGTCTCTTTTAGGAGGTTTGTTTGGATTGAATTCTTGAAGCTAGTAGATAGCAAGACTTAACTCTCACACCATATCATTGGACTGAATACTGACAGGAATATTAGTCAAAATGCAGGTCCCAGATGTGCACAGTTATTTGGTCTGTTTGTAGAAATCAAACTGATTTCGATTACATAAAAAATGGACTTGATTGTACATAAATAAGACATTTAGTACCTCTGTGTCCGAAAGGTTACAGCTGTCTTTTTGCAGTGAAAATAATAAATACAATTTGTACCTAATTTTGTGTATTGTTTTTTTTGTTGTTATTTATTTCATGAGAAAATTATATTTCAATGTATTGCAGTACACATTAAAAAGCACCTTACTTTGTTTCAGGACTCATTAATGGGGAAAAAAATAAGACATTAAAAGTGGTTAAAATAAGCGATATCGTAAAAAATAAGCGATATCACTTCTGGTAGACTACCTTGAAGGGATTTTTTTTACCTTAATTTTGTTGCTTCCAAACACAAATCAACCTAAAGTCAAATTATTGGAAGTCTCTGGGGTGATTGTGGCAGCAACATAACATGCACATCCATCACATTGGTTCCAGTCAGTCCAGGCATGAGTAACCGTCGTCCTTCAGAGAGCTGTGAGAAAAATGTGAACGAATCATTATTGGTGAGGAAGCCATCAACGTCCAGACCTTGAGACATGGCCTCTTCCATCAGTTCCCCATCTGTGACGGCACCAGCTGCCTCAGTCGGGCCGTCCTGTCCATCGGTTCCTCCGCTGAGAAACACTGCACCACTCTTCACTTCACCACCACTGAGCTCAAGGCCCACCCGCAGAGCCAACTCCTGGTTCCTCCCTCCCCTGCCCTTTCCTGTCAGTTGCACAGTGGGTTCTCCTCCAGCTAGCAGACAGGTCGCACCCCAGCCTTCTTTCCTCTCCTCTACAAGCACGTTCATGGTGCGACACAAATCCCAGCTTTCTATCCCAACATCTGGCCCTAGCTGAAGGATCTCTGCGGCAAGCTCTGGAGGAGGTTCCTTTCCTGGGGAGGATGCAAAACTTGAGAGCAGCCCGTATAGTCGTGCAACGGAACGAACGTCACCACATACTCCTGGAGCTAGAATGACAGGTCGAAGTCCAAATTCAATGGCCTTGCGGCTTGCACATTCAAGAGCAATGGTGTTTGAGCCAATTACAACGTTTGAAACATGGTCTTTGACTTCATGTGGCTGTTCTTGCCCCTGCAATTCACAAGGCCTAGCTTTGCTAAGCACCTCTTTTACAGAGGAAGGAATAGAGTCGGAGAGCTTATAACGATCCAAGATAGCCCAGACCTCCTCAGGCCGGGAGTCACTCCTGACTGTTGGACCGCTGGCTATCAAATCCAGAGGATCTCCAATAACATCTGACAGAATCAGTGCCACCACCTTCAAGACAGTGTGATGTCAGAGAGAATAAATATTATGCTTCACTGACATTGTGGGGTATTGCTTAACATTTTTCTTTGACGAATAAGGGGAAAGCTATTAAAAAACAATACAACAGTACAGGCAATGTGCAATTCTGCTGAATGGATTCTTTAAAAATATCCTTTCTTTGTTATGTAATTGGGTTGTTGTGTTTTTATGTAAAAAGAGCGGTTTTATTAATACATTTTCGAGAGCTGAAGGTCAGTGTGTGGACATTTATCTTTTTTCGTTAAATTTTTTTTTCTTCTTTTGGCCTCACATAAGCCCAATTCTGGGATTTGGGAGTGTACACTTATTTTTTGATTATGTAATTGTGTTACCTTGGCTGGGTTGGCACATTGGGCAAGACCTCCACCCTTTAACAATGACAGGGCTCGTCTCACTGTATTTAACTCCTGAATTGTTGCACCTGCTGCTGCAAGTTTTCGTGTCACATCCTGTTTCTCCTGCAAGGACATGGGTGGGGCTGGAGCAGGTAAAAGAGCAGAACCACCACCTGTGCATAGATGCATGTAAAAACATGAACTTTTCAACAAATACAAAACTTTATAAAAGCTTTATAAAGCCTCACAAATAACTTGCAAGTATTGAGGCCCCAGACAGCAGTCATTTAGTAATAGTCAATATTCTTTTTTTTTTTTTTGCCTACACACCAGTGTGAATATTTTTGCATTTCAAATAGGGCCAATATATAGGCTTCTCCAAGGCTTACATTTTTAAATTACAAATGGCCAACTGATGTTTTTGTTATTGTATGTTCAATATTATAGGCTTTTATTTGTGCATAAACATATCTGGTTATAGTAATTATTCTGTTTGTTTGAAAACAACATATTTTGTCATCTTTGCTGCAAGCTTACAAGAGCGATAATATCATTAAATGTGAAGGGGGCTCTAAAATATTTTCTTGGGAAAAAGGGGGTCTCAGATAAAAAAGGATTGGGAACCACTGCTGTAATCTAAAGCGAGCTAGATTACAAACAGATATTGTGCTCCAAACCACGTGCGCGAGCACAGCAGAGAGGTAAGCGAGAGACCTTGCATGAGTCTCCAGCCAAGCTAAACTCAAAAGTTGGCAGCTATGGGAGTAAACAATTCACAATATTACTGTTTGTACTGTATGTTGGATCAAATAAATGCAGCCTTGGAAAAATATTAATTATACAGGAAATAAGTCACCGTACCAGAGATGAGCACAAGCAGCACATCTTTCTCAGTCAGACCGCTGGCCAGTTCTCGTATACACTCTGCTGACTTCAGGGCATCTCTATCTGGTAAATTGTGCTTTGCTCCTTCCATCACTGTAATTCTGCTGTGACTTTCAAGCAGCATATTCCTGAGCAGACATACAAACAAGAGTTTCTCAGTGAAAGATTACATTTATCCTTTAGTTTTAAAATTAAATATAATACCTGGGCATTTCTGTCTAACCACTAAGCATTTTGATGGCAAGTCACAAATCCCAGTTTATTGCTATATAAACTTCCTATAAATCTAATTTAACAGAACACTAAAATACTTACGCTTTTCCATGATTTCGCAGTGTATTCTGGATACCGTGAGGCACACTGACCACTCCTTTAACTAGATGGTCCCCTACAATCCTCTCTGCTTCTGCGGCCATGCCCAGCACCGCCTTACCAAACCCCACCAAATAAAGGTTATTGGTAAGCGTGAAACTCTGTCCACCCACAAGTAGTTTGTCTCCATGTCGCTCCAGACCCCTGCGAACCACTATGTCTGGCTGCACAGCTTCAACCGCAGCAGAAAAAACAGCCCGGGCTCGCGTGTCTAATGACGACATACTGCGAGAGTACAATGATGCTAAGCCCACCCGCAGTGGGTGCTGCAGGTGAAGAGAACGTGAGAGAGCAAGAATCTGAGCCATGTACCACTCAAACTATCCACATCAGATAAAGAGTCACTTAACACCTGAGGAAGACAAAGAGATTAAAACCAGGCAGATTATTAATAACCAATTACACAGATTTTAATTAGCATTGATTTGTATCTTATTTATTTATCTCTATTTCACTCACAATTAAGTTGTTGTTATCGAAATTCACTCTGTTGATGTCCAGGTAGCATTAAAGGGTACCGAAATCTGTAACCTCTTTTATTTCACATACTATCTCTTTAATGTTACCCATATTCACTCTGGTGAGGTCGAATCTCTCGTTTCATACACCAAAAACATTTTGGTTGGATGGATGTGAACTGCTGCGGTTATCAAAACTGACAAGGTAGCATTAGAGGTTAGCATTTAGCATTAAGCAATAATTTCTGATCCTAAAAAGCATCTCTTATGTGAACAGACATAGATATGCAGGCCAGGGTCACCAACCAGGCATTAGAGGTTACTGAAATCTATTCCCATCTATAAACATACATTCAAATAGGCTTTGCTCTGATGTGAATAGTTGCATTTCAGTATACATAGGGTCACCAAATCTATCTAATGCTAAATTGTTGGATTTGGTGGCCCTGCTGTGTGCAAAAATAGATCATTTAAACATCACCAGAGCAAATTTGCATACAACATTACATCAAAGCCGTTATGTTTGAAATAACAGGTAACAGATTGTGGAAACCTCTAATTGTGCCTTGTCAGATTTGGAAACCCTATTATATTTCATATTTTCAGTAGGCTATACATACTTTCCCCCCAATTTTTACTCATTAACAAAATTTTGCCAAGCAGGGACAGTTATCAAATGCAGATAATTCTCTCAATAACAAAAAATATCTAAACTACAACTAAATTACCATGTATAGTCAACTAGAAACAGAAGTGAATTCATAGAATACATTTCCTGTCCCATCATACTGACAGTCAGATCGTGATTTAAGGAAAACGTACCTGCACTGTTCCTGGGAATTCTGAAGCTTTTTTATGAACTGACAAAACTTTTGAGATAACTGCTTTACACTGACGGGCCTGTGTACTGAACGAGTAGGCTAATGATTGACTACAGAAGACCATAGGGCAGAGAGTAGTTTCAAAGTAGTTTTCAATCCTAAAAAACGTAGAGGGGGAGGTAGGACAATAATAGCCTTTGACACTAGTTGACTAAGTTACAACTCAAGTTTTAGGCTAAGTCCGTCCAGTTAAAGTGCTGAGGGGTCAGTGTCTGTGGACCATCCCAGACTGCATTGAAAACATAAGCATTTCCCCACACAAATGACAACAAAGAATCGTTTTTACCTCAATTATTTTTCCATTCGCAAACTTCTGGTCACTTCAGCAATAGAAAACAGCAAATTAAAGAATACATCTGGAGTAAATAAACTACGTCTTGACGTCATTTTAATTCCTGTATTCGTCAGACGTTTACACGTTCATGATTCCTCCGTCCACTTTTCTCTCCTTGTTGTGAATAAGATTGACTCACATGACGAATTAATTAACGCAATAAAATACCCTCTCCATCGGTCAGACAACACATCCTCGTTCACGAACGAAATGTCTTGTTCAGTGTCGCTACAATTTCATTTTCAGGGCAGGGGTTTTGAACGAATCGTTTGTAAACAAATCGTTAAGTGTCGACTCGTTCTGTGAAGGAGGAGAGTTCGTTTGGTAGGTCCGACACCGACCAATGTAAAACAGAACCAAATGCTCCGTTCATACCCACACTGGAATGCCATTGGCTGGATCTTGAGGCAATCTTTTAAGTCAGGAAAACGAATCGTTTGCATAAATTATTCGTTTTCTAACAAACATGATAACATGGCATTGCGTCACACAGCGGAGCTTCCGAGTTTAAAGTCAAGTGACCTTCTATTACAAACTAATAAAGTTGCAAATTCAAGTTGAATCATGAAACAAATCATGCTAGTGTTTTGAAGAAGCAATGACATCTTTTCTTCAGAGGGTGGCAGTATTCAATAAGTCAGCCAAACTAAACTAAAACCATGACTCAAAAACCATCTCTATGGGCCAGAATCAGAATAGCCAAAGTCAACATGAAATCAAAATGGAATTTTTTTTTCAACCTGTCATTCACACGAGGCTTGAAACCCACATCCAATCAATTCCTAATGGACAAAATCAAATCTCGCCCTACTTTTGTTTTGTTTGAGAAGCCATTTCACTCACAATATGGTAAAGGCTATGGCAACTTCCGTTTCATGCAGACTTTATGTAAAGACATTATTTGAGGAATTAATATAAAAGTATTAAATAAATATAAGTTTTAATGGTTTAAGCTAATTTGCCATACTTATCATGTCATAATTTTGTCATTTTATAATGTTTTATTTTTTTAAGTATTTGCAACTAAATTAAATGGACATATTTAAAGCCTTGCAGACGCAAAGCTAGTTAAAAGTGCTGTTCTTGTTTGTTTGTGTTGCTGTTCTGTCATGTTTGTTTGTTGTAGGCCTACTATCTATTGTGTTGTCATGGATAATTGATGTGCAGAAGGCTATGTAATTCTCAGGTGGCTCCACAGCAGATGGGAAGAGGTCACTGTGCTGGCTGATATTTCCATTCTGCAGCACCAGTGACCCTTTGTCATCCTCTATGCGTACACTCTATTTGCATCCCCTTCGTCCCTTCCGTCCTTGTGGCAATCATATTCTCCGTTGTTTTATAAAGGGCTCAGATTTGGCTAATGTGTTGGGTAGATTGTATCAAGCCATTGGAAGTTTTCCACAAGTGATCACTTATTCACCTGAGGCCTGGTGTGAGAGAATGATGGAACGACAACTGTGCAGATGGCAAAGAGTTGGCAGGTGACTTTCAGTGGATACTAAGAGAGGCTGCGATTTATGAATACTCAGCAATAAGCAGCATAATCTGCATGACCAGAGGGTATCTGGCATCAGTGCAGGGGACAAGCTTAACTCTCTGAGGTGGCTGAACTCTCACTTCCAGTAAGTGACTAAGATGAATCACTTTACTGTGTGCAATTAGTTCTTCTCACTTTTTCATTAAAGCCAATATAGGGAATAATGGTAAATGGAGAAGATGGAAACAGAATTAGCAGGCCCGAATACTTTATCATATTCCATTGCACATTCATCGCCAAGGCTTTTCCCCGATTGCACCATCGCTCTTGTTATTCAATTACAGCAAAAACAAAGAGAAATCACTCTTTCTTATAACTGTATTTGCCTTGTGAGTGGCTATCTTATTGCTTTTGTGCTTTAAATATCATGCAGTCTTGGCTGTGATTCATTTATAATGCAGAATATGCATGAAGCAAAGTTCTGTGATGCTTTATCTGGGGTTCAGATTGTGGAATATGTTCATTTGAATAACAGCTCATAAAGTCAAATGCTCAAAACAATCATCATGCATGCACTGAGGATTATGTAGAGATTTCACCATGACAAAGATAAAATAAATAAACCTTGGGGTGAGAGCAGGGGCACCATGCACCCATTTTAATAATTATTTTATTTTAATTAAAAAGAGTTTTAATATTTTCGCTTTAATAACATATTATAGCTTTATTATTTAAATAAATTAGCCTTAACTAATGTTGTGTTATATATATATAACATTATAGTGTGTTGATGATGACAGAATCTTCCGATTTAAAGCATATGATCTGCAGAAAATGATCTTTTAAAAATGCTTTGGCTAATTTAAAGACCTTTTTACACCTGAAGTGAAATGAATTTGCTTCAGTCTAAAGGAAATATAAATTCATACCATTAGAGGGCGCAGCTCAAACAAACCTCATATTCTGGATCGCAGAAGAATAGGAGCAGGAGAAAAAAGTTCAACCAATCACAGACCCTCTTATCTCCCAATAATAAGACCATCTCTGGTTCAACACTCAGCAATAAAAAATAAAAAATTGACAAATGTGATGTTTATCTAGACTTTTTTGCCTATTAATATGATTGATTTGGATCATCTAAGGTCAGCAGTAACTTAACTCTTAACTCTCTTAACTCTCAAGTGAGATTAAATACATAAAGTATATTTGTGTAATTTAATTATTGCAGGTTTGCATTTCACTGTTTTTATTCATTTTGAGGAATACTGAATCTTTGTTTGTGCAAGATGAATAAATCCATGATCACATTTAGTCTACAACAATAACCATCATGTTCGCACAGCGCTTCTGCACTATAGCCTACTTTTGATTTCTCTCTATGGGACTGGAGAGGTATCAGTCAATACATGGAAAAACATTTTACTTTAAAAAAAAAGTATCTCAGATATAATTTTTACATGTCAAAGTAATGCATTACTTTAGTTAATTGAAAAGTAATCTGATTACATCACTTGCATTACTTGTAATGTGTTACCCTAAAACTGTATAAAAATAAATAAACCCATTTTATCATTATATTTCTTTTTTTGCTTTTTTGAATTGCTCTCAATATCCACATGGCTCAGAAATTCTCAGGGTTAACATATATCTGGGGTGTCTGGACGAGAGGATATGTCAACATATTACACATGAACCCGCAAATAAAAAAAGAAATAAAACACAAACCACATCATGCTGTTCCCCTTCAGTTAGCTGTTTTTGCAGGGCCTCACAGAACAAAAGAGATTTCACAGACTTCCTGTCTCTCTTCATTACCTTCATAAAAGGCTGATTATTATTGTGACTATGCCTTTGCCAACTTCTCAGAAAGGCCACCTACAGTGACTCTCCCAAAGTTCCTCAAAAGGGCTCGGGTCTTCTGACAGCTTAGAGTTTTTACAATAAATAGACTGAATAGAAGAATCCATGTGTCACGTAATGAAAGAGACAGATGGACAGAGACAAAAGAGAAATATGTGGATAATTTGGAAAAAAGGAGAAGCTGAAGGAAGAAGGAACGAAAACAAACACAATGGTGATCTAATTGAAATTTTAGTTACTCTTTAAATAGTAAAGCTGAATCTTTATGAAGGAAATATAATGAATATATTGGGCAGGATGCAGGTAAATCTCCATTGGGCAGCTTCCAGTGCTCTGCTGCTAGGCAACTGCTTGGGCACTGTGCGACTCTTCACACGACAACATTTCTTCTGAAGCAATTAGGACGAATTCAGAACATTCAGCTTTTTAAGTGCCCAGTAGCCTATTTTTATTTTTATTTTTTATCTTAAATCTGCTAATGCAGACAAAAAGAATCCCAATGAGCTAATTTCCTTTCAGCCTTGGTTCTGCAATTCCGTACATCCATTGATAGCCAACATTAAAAATTACAGGCACTGATCTGTGTTAATAGCAGTGAACAAAATTAGCAAAATTGGTTTGAATACCACATCTCCACAAGTGCAGTTTTCTGTATCACACCATGAAAGAAATGCTTAAAATCATTTTGGACTGCCATTTTGTCAATTATTATCATTATTTATGACGATTAAGATATAAATAAAATACACTACCATTCAAAAGTTTTTTTAGTTCTTACGCTCACCAATGCTGTATTTATTCAATCCAGCAAAAAGACCAATTTTGTGTAACGTGAATAATCCTGTGATAGATGAATTTTCAGCATCACGTAATCCTTTATTGTAATATTCTGAATTGGAGCTAATGAAGGTACTTTTCTTTTAAACTTTAATAATTTAGTTCACTGCTGTATTTTTACTGTAAATGCAGGAACTTTTTGCATGGTTTTGAATGAGAAGTGACCTTTCAATCATGACGATAGCATGAATCCTCTGAGCACCAACCACATCCTGCTTCCTGTTCAGTTAGTTTGCTTAAGCAGAACTCTTGATATCTTCTAAGAATGGACAATTCCATTACTCTGCACATTTGAGTAACAGAAACAGAGATATGTAGAGATTATACCAGCGCAGGAAGAGTGTTGCCCATTTATGGACCTTTATAAGCAAACTGCTTAAGCTTATTTGATTTATATGCATAATTTGTTCAAAGG